TACAGCATTTCCACTACTGGGTATCTTGCCAAAGAAAATAAAAACACTAATTCAAATAGACATATGCACCCCTATATTCTTGTAGCATTATTTATTAATAGCCAAGTTATAGAAACAACTTAAATACCCATTAATGGATGAATGAATAAAAATATGGTATATATACAGAATGGAATATTACTCAGCCATAAAACATGAAATCTTGCCATTTGTGACAACATGGTTGGACCTTGAAGGTATAATACCAAGCGAAATAAGTCAAATTTCGCTTGGAGAAAGACAAATTCCACATGATTTCACCTCTTTGTGGACTCTGAAAACCAAAACAAATAAACAAAGCAAAACACTGACTCATAGATACAGAGAACAGATTGGTGGTTGCCAGAGGGGAGAGGGTTGGGGTGGTGAAATGGGTAAAGGATACTGAGAAGTATAAACTTCTAGTTAGAAAATAAATAAGTCATGGAGATGTAATGTACAGAGTAGGGAATATAGTCAATAACATTGTATTAACTTTGTGAAGTTACAGATGATAACTAGACTTAGTGGTGACCATTTTGTAAATCTCTATGTTGCACACTTGAAACTAATATTCTATGTCAATTATACCTAAGTTAAAAAAATGACACTGCCTTTCTTTATTTGAGGGAAATAACTTTGTGTTATTAATTAATGCTAGTAAAATGATATCAAGTATGTATACATATAGTACTTTGTGAAGGGACAGTTAGGTTGCCATTAGAGTACTGACTGCACTTATAATGATCTCTTCTTCTTATAGGATCCCAATCATTCCTCGAACTAATTATTTAAAATAAAATTTAAATGCATTATTATCCCAAATGACTTCATTTTATTTTTCTATCTCCTTACACATTTTAACTACAGATAAAAAAGAATCTTTATTCAGCAAAAGTTTCTTGATGATTTTCAACGTAATTACTATTTCCCCTTTGTGTTGATATAACCAAATTTAATAATTTTGTTAAAATCCAGAGTGAATCAGTTCCTTTGGTACTTAAATGACAATTACTGAAAACAAGGGAAAGAAACAATACCATTTCAATAAGCTATAAATCCAAATCTGTTGAATTTAAACATCTCAATTCCACAAACCCTAAAGTTCTCATACAATGAGCTAAGATAATAATAATAATAATAATAATAATAATAATAATATTAATAATACCTTGGTTTGAAAATATCATCACTTTAAAGCTAGTAAAAAATAACTACCTTTTCTCCCTCCTTCCTTCCTTCCTCTTATTCTTTTTCTGGTCCATTTTTCTTACTAATCTACAAGTTACTTAGATATTTGATATGTTATTTGATTAAGGCAGAGTTAGTGGGAAAGGAAAGAGCTGCACCTTGTTTATTGCCCATTTTGATAAACAGGGTTTATCTTGTTTTCATGAAGGTTCACATGATCAATATTTAACCCTTGAGGAAAGCAATACTTTCTACCTGTGAAAATCAGTGAATGGAATTAAGGAAATAAGGGTATATTTCCTTCTTTTTAACCACCAATGAATTTTTTAATACTACTTATTTAATAGCTATTCTCATAATTTATTTTCTTTTATTCTGTAAAGCAGAGATTATTTGTAAGAAGACAGAGAGGAATAGGAGAGTGAATTAAGACATATCTGTATATTCAAAGGAAACAGCCTAGGTAAATCCTATGCATTAAATAAAGATCTGAGTCATACAAGCGAATATATTATTTGCTGATATTTAGGAAATACCAGGGTGAGATAGCAAAATGATTTTTTTAAAATTACAAAACAGTTACAAGTGCACAGGGATAAATTTTAAGTTGCTCTCCTAAGCAAATCTTGCTTGAAATGGGTAAAATAATTATTTTGGGGGATATTATTGACTGACATAGGACATAATAACACTTTGTTCGGCAATTAGCCACCCAGAAAGAAAGCAAATCCTAGTTTGATAAATTGACATTGAATACATGAGCATGAAATCTATCAGAACTAAATATTACTGATTGAGCAATTTCTTATACCTAGATTTTTTTATATTCCCATCTTTTTAAAAAAAAATATGAGATACTTTCCTTCTGCTGGTAATATCAGATGGAGCAAAGCCAGGATACAGTCTCTTTAAGTCCTTACAATACTCCAAACATCGCTTCTCTCCATTTTCAGATAGCAACTCTTTTGAAAATTAAATTATGGGTATACTTGTCAATATCCATTGGAAACTGAAATAGAAGACATAGTGTAGTCCCTCACCCTCTGGCTGAGGTTTGGAATAGATTGCTTCTGCCTTCAGTAGTGATCATGAAAGAAAGAAAGACAAAAAGACTGGAAGGTATAAACACAATGCTTTAACCAAGTCCTGAGTGTTCTGCATGCATTATCTTTAGAAAACAATGACATGCTCACAGCTGGAAAGCCCAGCAAGAAAAACCAGGGACATCTTGATTACTTTCATAGATAATGACAAACCAGAGCCAGCTAGAGACCCCACGCACACAAACGCATCCTCAGAAGAGAAAAGCAGTCTGCGATGTTGTAGAGGCATTATTTAGCATTTCCAACCAGTTGCCAAACCTTGACAGGATATACAATTCAAACTGTGCCTTGTACCACTTGGAGGCTACTCTTAAAAGCTTTCTACTTGAAAAGTGAATGCCACCTTCCTCTAATATTTTTCCTCATCAGTATCTGTACAGGGAGAAGGGGTGTGAGAATCTATGACCAAAGGTGAGGTGAGCAGGTCTGAGACAAACTTCACCTAAGGTGAAAGCAGAATGAGCACGAGGGACTTAACCTGTTTTCTGGAATGAATGGGAAAGGGACTCGAATGCTAAATATTCCCCTCTCACACAGACCCTTGTTTCTATTAAGAGAAGTGACTCCTCAGTTTCCTATCCCTGCAACCTTGGAAATGAAGCTGTCCTGCTCACACACTGGCTTGAAGATAGTCACTGGGTCTCATCTCCTATCCCTGGGGCTCAACAGCTCTGCTTGGAAGTCTGTCAGGTCTGGACTAAACATAATCTATTTCTCTGCCCTCTGGGGTCTCAGGTCCCCTAAATAGGACTCGGTCGACCTGTTCTGGGACTCCCACAGTCTTTCTGCCCTCTGAGCCCAATAAAAAAGTTAGACAGGAGAGTGAGAAGGTGAGGAACAAATGGATGCTTTTGAAGTCAAAGGGACTGGGTGGAAACGAGCCAGCTCTCCACAGGGACTGATCAGGCGCGTGTGGGCGTGGGTGTCCCTGTTCTCCCACGAGGACAGGATCTTTCTCCATTCTCAGTTCAGCCCGGATCTTTTACATTCAGTGTTCCTGATTTTGAATAGTTACTCTGATGAACCGCCATGCATGAAATGGATGATTTGCAAGCTTCTGTGTCCCAAGCAATGCCGTGGATAATCAGATATCCAGATCGTGCATGGGCAAGGGAATGTTCCTTTGTAGAAAGTGATCGCTCCCGCCACCAAAGAAGCAGGGCAGCCGCCTGAGGTGGAAACCCGGGCCCGTGCTCTGGCCTTGGTACTGAAGCTGGAACGCACTGCCAGAACCCCCTCAGACGCCCCTGGGCAACTTTGGGAGGTGTGAGGGCACCGGTCAGTTCAGGCACCCCCCTCGCGGGTCGCCGGCAGGAAGCCCAGCACAACCGATGCCCTAGGACCCTCCACAGGGTACGCGGCTGGCTTATTCCTTTGCCTGGAGCTGGGAAACTTCTGTCCAACGTGTTTTTCTTTTTTCTTTTTAAACTGGAGCGGCCTTCTCCCCTCCCACCTGGGTCGCCATGGAGACTCGAGCTCTTTCTCTTTCTACGGGCAAAATGGGCGAAGCTTTGCGCGTTCACTATAGCAAGCCCCCTTTTCTTCCTGAGCAGCCCTGGGCATTCCCCCCCTCCGTTTTTCAGCAAAAGAAAGGCATGCAGGGCACGGTGCTAGTGGGAATGTGGCCCTGCGCCCTGGACAGTGCGGCTCTCCGGGACCATCAGACTTTGGATAAAAGCAAGCAGGGAACACTCTAAACACATAATGACTCTCCAACTCCCAAACACTAGAGTTTTGACCCCCCTACCCCCTTTCCTTTTTTGGGAGTGGAGGCGGGATTCTTCGGAAAATTCTGGTATTTTGTTTCTCCATTAACTTCACCCCGTTTCTGTGTCTGTTTCTATTAAGAACGATTCCTTCCTATGAGCCTCTCCATATGGAGGCTGGTACAAGAGATATACCTGTGGATCAACCCAAGGTCTTACTGGATTTTGGGAATGCTAATGTTATTTCTGCTAAAAACGAATCCAAGCTTAATGTCTTGATGCAAATGAAAATATACCCAGGAGAAAGCATGTCAGTGGATTCATCCAACCCCCTAAAATGCAATAAACATCTCATTTTATCTGAAGGGTTTTTTTTTCTTCCAATTTTGAAATCATTCAGTTTACTTCTAGAGAGAGCTTCCTGCTCCCTGTCTGTAGTCATCATATCGAATCCCATGTTTTATTGATTGAGAACAGTTAGGAGTTATTGCTTCCCATTCTTTGACTGTTTCTCCCCACCCCTCACTTTTCCTTCTCATGTTCTCTCTACTTAATGCGAAGAACAAGGATACCGCTTTCCACAAAGACAATGGGCTTTTCCCAACTATAAATGATTCCACCGCAAGCCATCCCTGCCAGTTAATAGGTGCCTTTCTTCTTGGCCAGCAGATGTTGAAATGATGTCTGCAATAACTGACTGGGTTTCACTGAGCCCAGGGCATGCAGACCCCTCCTCTCCCAGTCCCCCGTGCGACTTTTCAGTCGCTAATGCAAACCGTATGAAACAGATTTCCCTTCTGTTATGTAACCGGCTTCTCGCTAGCCTTTCCCTTGACTTGGGCATCCTGTTTCTCATCAGAGTGGAGGCATGCAGCGGCGGCGGCGGCGACTGGGGAGGGGGAGCAGGGGACCCGAGGGCACGAACGTCTTGCCCAGACTGATGCCAGCTTCTCGCCTTCGAGCAACTCAGGGCACCGCTTACCTTGCTGCGGACAGGGTGGTTTCACTCAATCATGATCTCCTCTCTTGGAACGGAGCAAGATTTAATAATTCACTATACGATGGATGGCGAGGGGATAGGGGATTTAAAAAAAAAGGAAAGAAAAA